TATCCCCCCATGAGGATGCACTCCCACCCCCCATCTCCCCCCATCTCCCCCCATATCCCACCATGAGGATGCACTCCCACCCCCCATCACCCCCCATCTCCCCGTGAGGATGCACTCCCACCCCACATCCCGCCCCCATCTCCACCCACTCCCACCCCCCCCCACCCCCATCCCACATCCCCCCCATATCCCACCATGAGGATGCACTCCCACCCCCCATCCTGCCCCATATCCCACCATGAGGATGCACTCCCACCCCCCATCTCCCCCCATATCCCACCATGAGGATGCACTCCCACCCCCCATCCCGCCCCACATCCCACCATGAGGATGCACTCCCACCCCCCATCTCCCCCCACATCCCCCCCATGATGTTGCCCCCCATCACCCCACATCCCCCCCATCCCGCCCCATATCCCACCATGAGGATGCACTCCCACCCCCCATCTCCCCCCATATCCCACCATGAGGATGCACTCCCACCCCCCATTGCCCCCCATCTCCCCCCATATCCCACCATGAGGATGCACTCCCACCCCCCATCTCCCCCCATATCCCCCCATGAGGATGCACTCCCACCCCCCATCCCGCCCCATATCCCCCCATGAGGATGCACTCCCACCCCCCATCACCCCCCATCTCCCCCCACATCCCCCCCATGATGTTGCCCCCCATCACCCCACATCTCCCCCCCCATCCCGCCCCACATCCCACCATGAGGATGCACTCCCAGGCCATCCAGCGGATGGGCAGTAGGGCTCTGCCCCACACCCTGTAGTAGTGCCGCCCGTAGAGGGGCCGGCTCATGCCGAAGTCCGACACCTTCACCGTCACTCCCGCCCCCACCAGGCAGTTCCGCGTCGCCAGGTCGCGATGCACCACGTTCAGTCGCGACAGGAAACGCATCCCCGACGCGATCTGAGCCCCGACGTGCAGCAGCGTGGGCAGGCTGGGGGGGGGGGTAGAGGGGAGGGGCTTAAAGGGGAGGGGCTTAAAGGGGAGGGGGTTGAGTGGTGTCCATATATGGACAAAGGGGAGGGGCTTAAAGGGGCAGGGCTAAAAGGGAGAGGCCTAAAGGGGAGGGGCTTAAAGGGGAGGGGTGGGGCTTAAAGGGGAGGGGCTAAAGGGGAGGGGTGGGGCTAAAGGGAAGGGGTGGGGGTAAAGTGGAGGGGAGGGGCTTAAAGGGGAGGGGAAGGGCTTTAAGGGGAGGGGAGGGGCTAAAGGGAAGGGGTAAAGGGGAGGGCTAAAGGGAAGGGGAGGGGCTTAAAGGGAAGGGGAGGGGCTAAAGGGAAGGGGTGCGGGTAAAGGGGAGGGGTGGGGCTTAAAGGGGAGGGGCTTAAAGGGGAGGGGCTTAAAGGGGAGGGGAGGGGCTTAAAGGGGAGGGGAGGGGCTAAAGGGGAGGGGGGGCTTAAAGGGGAGGGGTGGGGCTAAAGGGATTGTGAGGGGGTAAAAGGGAGGGAGCATGGTAAAGGGAAGGGGTGGGGCTAAAGGAAAGGGCATAAAAGGAAAGGGGTGGGGCTAAAGGGAAGGGGTGTGGCTAAAGGGAAGGGGAGGGGCTAAAGGGAAGAGGAGGGGCTAAAGGGAAGGGGTGGAAGTAAAGAGGAGGGGCTAAAGGGAAAGTGAGGGGCTAAAGGGAAGAGGAGGGGCTAAAGGGAAGGGGAGGGGCATGGGAAAGGGAGTAAAGGGGTGGGGCTAAAGGGAAGGGGTGGGGCTAAAGGAAAGGGGTGGGGCTAAAGGAAAGGGGAGGGGCTAAAGGGAAGGGGTGTGGCTAAAGGGAAGGGGAGGGGCTAAAGGGAAGAGGTGGGAGTAAAGGGGTGGGGCTAAAGGGAAGGGGGAATGGAAGGGGCGTGCTAAAGGGAAGAGGGGCTAAAAAAGGGGCGGGGCTAAAGGGAAGAGGTTGGGGTAAAGGGGAGGGGATAAAGGGACGGGGATGGGTAAAGGGACCGGGTTGGCATAAAAGGGGCGGGGCTAAAGGGAACGGGCGGGGCTAAAGGGAAGGGGCGGGGCTAAAGGGAAGAGGTTGGCGTAAAGGGGAGGGGCTAAAGGGACGGGGCATGGGTAAAGGGAGTGGATGGGCATAAAAGGGGCGGGGCTAAAGGGAAGGGGCGGGGCTAAAGGGAAGAGGTTGGCGTAAAGGGGAGGGGATAAAGGGACGGGGCATGGGTAAAGGGAGTGGATGGGCATAAAAGGGGCGGGGCTAAAGGGAAGGGGCGGGGCTAAAGGGAAGGGGCGGGGCTAAAGGGAAGAGGTTGGGGTAAAGGGGAGAGGCTAAAGGGGAAGGGGCATGGGTAAAGGGACTGGATGGGCATAAAAGGGGTGTGGCTAAAGGGAAGGGGCGTGGCTAAAGGGAAGGGGCGTGGCCAAAGGGGGCGTGTCCCGCACCTGAGGGCGCTGCCGGCGGGGCCGCCCAGGAAGCCGTGCAGGTCCCCGTGCTCCATGAACTCGGTGACGATGCAGAGGGGGCCGGGCCCCCCGCACACCCCCAGCAGCCGCACGATGTTGGGGTCCCGCAGGCGCCCCATGGTGCGAGCCTCCTGCAGGAAGTCCCGCCTGGGGGCGCCACACCCCTTTAGAATCGCATTTGCATCTCATTTGCATCCCATTTGCGTCCCATTTGCATCCCATTGACGTCCCATTTTCATCCCATTGACGTCCCATTTTCATCCCATTGACATCCCTTTTGCATCCCATTGGAATCCCATTTGCATCCCATTGCAATCCCATTTGCATCCCATTGCCATCCCATTTGCATCCCATTGACATCCCATTTGAGTCTCATTTGCGTCCCATTGCCATCCCATTTGCGTCCCATTGCCATCCCATCTGCATCCCATTGGCATCCTTTTGCATCCTATTTGAATCCCATTTGCATCCCATTGACATCCCATTTGCATCCCATTGACATCCCATTTGAGTCTCATTTGCGTCCCATTGCCATCCCATCTGCATCCCATTGGCATCCTTTTGCATCCTATTTGAATCCCATTTGTGTCCTATTGACGTCCCATTTGAAACCCATAGCCATCCCATTTGCATCCCATTTGCGTCCAATTGACGTCCCATTTGCATCCTATTGACATCTCATTTGCATCCCATTTGAGTCTCATTTGCATCCCATTGCCATCCTATTTACTTCCCATTTGCATCCTATCAAAACTCCATTGCCATTCTATTTGCATTCTATTGGAATCTCATTGACATCCCATTTGCGTCCCATTGCCATCCCATTGGCATCCCATTGATGCTGCATTTGCATCCCATTGGCATCCCATTAACATTCCATTTGCACACCGTTTACACCACATTTTCCCCCATTCCCCCATTTCCCCCATCCCCCCATGCCCTATTCCCCCCATTTCCTCCCATTTTACCCCATTTTTCCCCCCCCATTTCCCCCATCCCCCCATTTCCCCCATCCCCATTTCCCCCCATTTCCCCCCCCCATTTACCCCCCCATTTCCCCCTCATTGTACCCCATTTCCCCCTCATTGTACCCCATTTCCCCCTCATTTTACCCCATTTCCCCCCATTTTACCCCATTTCCCCTTTTACACCATTTCCCCCCATTTCCCCCCAATTCCCCCCATTTCCCCCATCCCCATTTCCCCTCCATTCCCCCATCGTACCCCATTTCCCCCCATTCCCCCCCATTTCCCCCCATTTCCCCCCCATTTCCCCCATTTCCCCCGTTCCCCCCCCCCATTCCCCCCATTCGAACCCCCCCATTCCCCCCATTTCCCCCCATCCCCCCATTTCCCCCATCCCCATTTCCCCCTGTTTCCCCCATCGTACCTCATTTCTCCCTCATTTTACCCCATTCCCCCCATTTCCCCCCATCCCACCCCATCCCCCCATTCCCCCCATTTCCCCCCATTTCCCCCCATTCCCCCCATTTCCCCCCATCCCCCCATTCCCCTCCATTCCCATTCCCCCCCATTCCCCCCATTCCCCCCATCCCCCATTCCCCCCATTCCCCCCCATTTCCCCCCCCATTTCCCCCATTCCCCCCCATTTCCCCCCATTTCCCCCCATTTTTCCCCCATTTTTCCACATTTTTCACCCCATCTCCCCCCATCCCCCCCATTTTCACCCCATTTCCCCCCATTTCCCCCCATTTTCCCCCATTTCCCCCCACTTCCCCCCCATTTCCCCCCCATTACCCCCATATTTCCCCCCATTCCCCCCATTCCCCCCCCATTTCCCCCCCCATTCCCCCCATCCCCCCCATTCCATCACCCCCATAGCCCCATTCCCCCCATCACCCCCATTATCCCATTGTTACCCCCCATTCCCCCCCTTTCTCCTCCCCATCTCCCCCCATCACCCCCCCCATTCCCCCCAATCCCCCATCCCCATTTCCCCCCCATTCCCCCCCCATTCCCCCCATCCCCCCCATATCCCCCCCATTCCCCCCATCCCCCCATATCCCCCCATTTCCCCCCATCCCACCCCATTCCCCCCATTCCCCCCCATTCTCCCCCCATTTCCCCTCATCCCACCCCATTCCCCCCATTCCCCCCATTCTCCCCCCATCCCCCCATATCCCCCCCATATCCCCCATCCCCCCCATTTCCCCCATCCCCCCCCACCTCGCGTTCTCGCTCGCGTCCTCCCGCAGCACCTTGACCGCCACCAGCAGGGGGCGCCCTCGCGGCAGCTCCGGGGGGCGGGACCCCGGCGGCAGCGCCTGGGGCTCCTCCACCTCGCAGAGCAGCACCTGCAGGGGGCGGGGACAACGGCTCATTTGCATACGACAGGGCCAATCAGAGCTCAGGGGGCGGGGCTTCACCCACCCGCCCCACCCCGTGCTTTGCGCCAAGGGGTGTGGCTACGTCTTGAGTGGGTGGGGTTAAAGGGGGGGCGTGGCTTGAAGGGGCCATCACCTTATGTGGGCATGAGGGGGCGTGGCTTACCTGTAGGGGCATGGCTTTGTCTACAGTGGGTGGGGTTAAAAGGTGGCGTGGCTTGAAGGGGCATCACCTTATATGGGCATGGGGTAGGAGGTGGGCGTGGCTTACCTCTAGGGGCGTGACTACGTCTTGAGTGGGTGGGGTTAAAAGGGGGGCATGGCTTCCGGCATCACCTTATATGGGCATGGGGTAGGAGGGGGGCGTGGCTTTCCTCTGGGGGCGTGGCTTTGGTTTGAGTGGGTGGAGTTAAAAGGGGGGGCGTGACTTGAAAGGGCTTGGCTTCCCCCATCACCTTATATGGGCATGGGGGCGTGGCTTAACTCTAGGGGCGTGGGTTTGGTTTGAGTGGGTGGGGTTAAAAGGGGGGCGTGGCTTGAAGGGGCTTGGCTTCCCCCATCACCTTATATGGGCATGGGGGCGTGGCTTACCTCTAGGGGCGTGGCTACATCTTGAGTGGGTGGGGTTAAAAGGGGGGCGTGGCTTGAAGGGGCCATCACCTTCTATGGGCATGAGGGGGCGTGGCTTACCTCTAGGGGCACGGCTTTGTCTTGAGTGGGTGGGGTGGGGGGGTGGGGGGGGCGTGGCTTACCTTTAGGGGCGTGGCTACGTCTTGAGTGGGTGGGGATAAAAGGGAGCATGGCTTGAAGGGGCCATCACCTTATATGGGCATTGGGGGGGCGTGGCTTACCTCTAGGGGCGTGACTACGTCTTGAGTGGGTGGGGTTAAAAGGGGAGGCGTGGCTTGAAGGGGTGTGGCTTCTGCCATCACCTCATATGGGCATGGGGTAGGAGGGGGGCGTGGCTTATCTCTAGGGGCGTGGCTTCCTCTTGAGTGGGTGGGGATAAAAGGGAGCGTGGCTTCTGGCATCACCTTATAGGGGCATGGGGGGGGGGCGTGGCTTACCTCTAGGGGCGTGGCTAGGTCTTGAGTAGGTGGGGTTAAAAGGGGGGGCGTGGCTTCCAGCATCACCTTATATGGGCTTGGGGGGTGGGGGGTGGCTAGGTCTTGAGTGGGTGGGGTTAAAAAGGGGGGCGTGGCTTGAAGGGGCATCACCTTATATGGGCATGGGGGTAGGAGGTGGGCGTGGCTTACCTCTAGGGGCGTGACTACGTCTTGAGTGAGTGTGGTTAAAAGGGGGCGTGGCTTGAAGGGGCCATCACCTTATATGGGCATGAGGGGGCGTGGCTTACCTCTAGGGGCGTGGCTACATCTTGAGTGGGTGGGGTTAAAAGGGGGGCGTGGCTTCCAGCAACACCTTATATGGGCATGGGGGGGCGTGGCTTACCTCTAGGGGCGTGGCTACGTCTTGAGTGGGTGGGGTTAAAAGGGGGGCATGGCTTCCACCATCACCTTATATGGGCATGGGGTAGGAGGGGGGCGTGGCTTTCCTCTAGGGGCGTGGCTTTGGTTTGAGTGGGTGGGGTTAAAAGGGGGGGCGTGGCTTGAAAGGGCTTGGCTTCCCCATCACCTTATATGGGCATGGGGGCGTGGCTTAACTCTAGGGGCGTGGCTTTGGTTTGAGTGGGTGGGGTTAAAAGGGGGGGCGTGGCTTGAAGGGGCTTGGCTTCCCCCATCACCTTATATGGGCATGGGGTAGGAGGGGGGCGTGGCTTATCTCTAGGGGCGTGGCTTTGTCTTGAGTGGGTGGGGTTAAAAGGGGGCGTGGCTTGAAGGGGCTTGGCTTCCCCCATCACCTTATATGGGCATGGGGGGGGGCCTGGCTTACCTGTAGGGCTTCGTCTTGAGTGCGTGGGGTTAAACGGGGGGGGGGGGGGCGTGGCTTGAAGGGGTGTGGCTTCCGCCATCACCTTATATGGGCATGGGGTAGGAGGGGGGGCGTGGCTTACCTCTCCGAACTGCCCCTCCCCGAGCTTCTGCCGGAAGCGCAGGCGCTGGCGTGGGAAGGTCGGGAGGGCGGGGCAAGGGGCGTGGCCGGAAGCGGGGTGGGCGGAGCCTCCGATGACGTCAGCTTCGGCGTAGGCCTCGGCCCCGCCCTCCGAGGCTAGGTGGGGGGGGGAAGGGAAAGGGGTGGGGCTTGAATGAGGTGGGAGGGGCTGTTGGGGGGCCAATGGGGAAGGGGCGGGGCTTGGCCTCACCGTCGGTGTTGATTGGCTTGGCCCCGTCCGGGGGGGTCCGAGCGAGCCCTCCCATTGGCTGGGCGTAGGTGGCCAGGAGGAGGCGGTAGCCTGGGTTGGTGAAGGGAGCTGGGGGGGGGGAGGCGGGGGTTAGGAAAGGGGAGGGGTCTGGAGGCTCCACCCCCTGAATATATCCATGTATCCATATATCCATCATCATCATCATCTTCATCATCCATCATCATCATCATCATCATCCATCATCATCATGCAACATCATCATCATCATCATCCATCATCATCATCATCATCCATCATCATCATCCATCATGATCATCATCATCATAATCATCATCATCCATCATCATCATCCATCACCATCCATCATCATCCATCATCCATCATCATCATCATCATCCATCATCATCATCATCCATCATCATCCATCCCTCCATCATCATCCATCATCATCCATCATCATCCATCATCATCATCATCATCCATCACCCATCCATCATCATCCATCATCATCATCATCATCCATCACCCATCCATCATCATCCATCATCATCCATCATCATCATCATCATCATCATCCATCAACATCATCATCATCATCATCATCATCATCCATCATCATCCATCATCATCCATCATCATCCATCATCATCCATCATCCATCCATCATCATCATCATCCATCATCATCATCATCATCATCCATCATCATCATCATCATCCATCATGATCATCATCATCATAATCATCATCATCCATCATCATCATCCATCACCATCCATCATCATCCATCATCCATCATCATCATCATCATCCATCATCATCATCATCCATCATCATCCATCCATCCATCATCATCCATCATCATCCATCATCATCCATCATCATCATGATCATCCATCACCCATCCATCATCATCCATCATCATCATCATCATCCATCACCCATCCATCATCATCCATCATCATCCATCATCATCATCATCATCATCATCCATCAACATCATCATCATCATCATCCATCATCCATCATCATCATCCATCATCATCCATCATCATCCATCATCATCATCATCCATCATCATCATCATCCATCATCATCCATCATCATCATCATCCATCATCATCATCATCCATCATCCATCATCCATCATCATCGTCATCATCATCCATCATCCATCATCATCCATCATCATCCATCCATCCATCATCCATCATCATCATCCATCATCATCCATCATCATCCATCCATCCATCATCCATCATCATCATCCATCATCATCATCATCATCATCATCCATCATCATCATCCATCATCATCATCCATCATCATCCATCATCATCCATCATCATCCATCATCATCATCATCCATCATCATCCATCATCATCATCATCCATCATCATCATCATCCATCATCCATCATCCATCATCATCGTCATCATCATCCATCATCCATCATCATCCATCATCATCCATCCATCCATCATCCATCATCATCATCCATCATCATCCATCATCATCCATCCATCCATCATCCATCATCATCATCCATCATCATCATCCATCATCATCATCATCATCCATCATCATCATCATCATCCATCATCATCCATCATCATCCATCATCATCCATCCATCCATCATCCATCATCATCATCCATCATCATCGTCATCATCATCACCATCATCCATCATCATCATCCATCATCATCATCATCATCATCATCCATCACCCATCCATCATCATCCATCATCATCCATCATCCATCATCATCATCATCATCATCATCATCCATCAACATCATCATCATCATCATCATCATCATCCATCATCCATCATCATCATCCATCATCATCCATCATCATCCATCATCATCATCATCCATCATCATCATCATCATCCATCATCATCATCATCCATCATCCATCATCCATCATCATCGTCATCATCATCCATCATCCATCATCATCCATCATCATCCATCCATCCATCATCCATCATCATCATCCATCATCATCCATCATCATCCATCCATCCATCATCCATCATCATCATCCATCATCATCATCATCATCATCATCCATCATCATCATCATCATCCATCATCATCCATCATCATCCATCATCATCCATCCATCCATCATCCATCATCATCATCCATCATCATCATCATCATCATCACCATCATCCATCATCATCATCCATCATCATCATCATCATCATCATCATCCATCATCATCCATCATCATCCATCATCATCCATCCATCCATCATCCATCATCATCATCCATCATCATCATCATCATCATCACCATCATCCATCATCATCATCCATCATCATCATCATCATCATCCATCATCATCACCATCATCCATCCCGCACCGTGTCCCCCCGTTGGCTCCTGGTACTCCCCCTCTCCGGGGGGGATCCTCTCGTAGCGGGGGGGCCGGCGCGCCGCCGCCGCCGCGGGGTTCATGACGATG